ATGACAAGAGCCTTGGGTGATTACTGACATCATAAATAAGAGTGTCAATTGTTAAATCAACAACAGGAGTCACTGTGCACTTAACTCCCCATGTAGGATCTCTGTCTTTAATATGTTGTACTATGCGAATTAACAGTAAAACTAGGCCGGCGCCGCGGCTCACTAGGCTAATCCTCCGCCTAGCGGCGCCGGCACACCGGGTTCTAGTCCCGGTCGGGGCGCCGGATTCTGTCCCGGTTGCCCCTCTTCCAGGCCAGCCCTCTGCTGTGGCCAGGGAGTGCAGTGGAGGATGGCCCAGGTGCTTGGGCCCTGCACCCCATGGGAGACCAGGAAAAGCACCTGGCTCCTGGCTCCTGCCATCGGATCAGCGCGGTGCGCCGGCCGCAGCGCGCCGGCCGCGGTGGCCATTGGAGGGTGAACCAATGGCAAAGGAAGACCTTTCTCTCTGTCTCTCTCTCTCACTGTCCACTCTGCCTGTCAAAAAAAAAAACAGTAAAACTAGTACTCAAACAGTACTTTATACTTTGTGTATCTGTGTGGGTGCAAACTGTTGAAATCTTTACTTAGTATATACCAAGTTGATCTTCTGTATATAAAGATAATTGAAAATGAATCTTGATGAAGAACAGGATGGGAAAAGGAGTGGGAGGTGGGAAGGTGTTAATGGGGGGGGGGGGGCGGAGAAAGCCGCTATAATCCAAAAATTGTACTTTGTAAATTCACGTTTAATAAAAGTTTAAAAAATATTTATTTATTTATTTGAAAGGACAAAGATACAGAGAAAGAGAAGGGAGAGGGAGAGAGAGAAAGATCTTCCATCCCCTGGTTCACTCCCCAGATGGCCTCAAAAGCCAGGGCTAGGCCAGACTGAAGCCTGAAGCAGCAGCTTCTTCCAGGTCCTCCATGTGAGTGCAGGGGCCTAAGCACTTGGGCCATCTTCCTCTGCTTTCCCAGGTACACTAGCAGAGAGCTGGATCGGAAATGGAGCAACCAGGCCTTGAACCAGTGCCTATATGGGATGCCACAACTACAGGCCGCGGCTCCCATACAGCATGTTTTAAACACGGACATGTAACTCCCTAGTAAGATAAAATACAGAGTTTGTCATATTAGATACAAGGTATACCATCACTTAGTCTTCAAACATCATTGCACTGTTAACTCTCATAATTTGACAAAGGATTCATAAAATTATATGCAGACTAGTTTTAACTGACAAATAACACCTTTAAGCAGAGTTGACTGTAGTAAACTATTTGTTAGGTTCGAATTTTACAAACGTTACTTGTATTAGCAGTAGTGGTGCAGCTGGAGGGTATGGCGCCATCTCCAGGCTGCACAATGGGAAGCACCATTAGTGTAGTGGAACTTGTGGCCCTTTCCAAGGCCAACACTGTTAAGGCCTGCAGATGTCAGCCCATGCATTCCCCTGTGCTTGTGATCCACTGGGAGTCAGGATTTCCTCTGCTAGGTTGAATGGATCAATGACAATAACCTGAATGAATTTGTCCGTGGAATCTTCCCCAAATCCAGTAACAATTCAGGACTCTAGAGCTCCATGGTGGCGCCTGGCTCATGCGTGGGCAACAGAGTGAAGGCTTTGTGTAAACTTCAGCTGGTTAGTGTCTTGATGGACAGGTTTGCTGTGGGTTGTACCCTTAGGAACTGAGCGCATGCAGCCACCACAGCACACAGGAATCCTATGCATGACATAAATTTGCTTGGCCTTGTACGCCAATCTGTGCACCTTCATGGGGCAGGTGGGCAGGGCACCTCTTGGAGCACAGAGAGCGGGCAGTACCCTAGAGAGAGTATAGCTGGCGGGATGATCAGGAAAAAGTGCATCGCATCGGCTGCCTCTCTCCATAGCTCCTAGATGTACTTCTGTGCACCCATCCTGCCTCCCTTGATGGCTGCCGGCAGAGAGAAAAGTGTATTTTCCTTTTTTAATGTGTGCTGTAGCTCTCCCTTTGTCTGTACCTCTTTGTGTGCACTCAGCTCCGAGGACTCTCTAACCTGGATGAACTCTCTAGTGCCATTATATTGAGTGCACAAGCAATTTCTTAACTGCGATCTGAGAAGAAACAGAATTCCCAGTGGGTAGAAACATGGATGTCATGACACTTCCTGTGTAACCCCATTGAATTGGCTGGCTGGGTGTTACAGCGTTGAAGCATTCTTCCTTAATCAGGTCACTATCTCTATCCTATAAGCTGCACAAGGTTAAGGAATTTGAACTTTTTATGAGACTAAATGGAATCAATTAAAGAAGTGAGAAGAGTCGTCACAGCCTTAGATATCTAGCACAAGCTTTTTGCTTTCAAGTTAACAAGCAAAGTAGAATGGAAACACTAATGTTTGGTCGCTGCCTCCCAAAATGTAACAGCCCTGGCTAAGCGCCAGGTGGCATCCAAATAGTTAATGACGCAGCTTCAGTCTGTAAGGTGCCGCTGATGCTGAACTCACTGCTCACTGCTCTCGGCACACTGCTTGGTCCTAATACCCCATTTGTATTCTATCTGCAGGCTGAGAAAAGCTGGAGAGTGATTGTGTCTAATAGTTTTGACCACTTGGGAAGTAAAGACCCATTTGTCTGGCTCTTCTTCTTTTCTCTATAAAGAATAAATAAATAAAACCTTCCCTGCCCCAGTGCTAAACTAATGTCAAGAATAGCCATTTAGCTTACATACTTATTTTTTAAAATTAAAGGCAGATCGTAAACATAAAACCGAAGGAAAAACAGAAAATGTGAAATACGAATAGAGCCAGGTAGTGAATTGTGTTTGGGGCAAGGGGCAGGTTGAAGGGGAGCTCCAGCAATTCAGCAGAAAATTATCTCTGAGATTCTGGTGACCAAAATAAAAAATAGAAGCACGATAATTTCTTAACAGATTATCAAGGGAAACATGTTTCCAGCTCTGAATTATAGAGGAATTTATCACCTGGGCCTTAAAAATCAGGAGTCATTTAGATATTAGGAGTATAATGGACAGAATCTGCATTAATAATTTATTAAAATTTCTGTTGACTCATATCTTTCTTGGATTAATCATATTTAATTTGTTAAGTTTGATACTGGCATTGTTAAAAAGTCCATGAAATTATTTTCAAATACTTTAATTTTCTGCTGCCAAAGCTTCCAGCCCCCAATTCCCTACTCTATTACCCATAGTATTTCATTTATTCATTAAAATAGTTAATACAATTAGTAGTAGTACAGGTCCCTCCCCTCCAATGGGAATAATCCTAAAAAGCTGCATGAGAACAAAGAATTTTAAATTGGGATAATATATACAAAGTAATTTATTCTAATATATCCCAAACCTAGTTCTTCATCACAATTACCTAAGTTTTTAGAAATCAAATCCCAATCCCAGTTCCCAGTGGTTCTGGGTATGGACTCAGAAATCCGTTGGTGTTTTTGTTGTTCTTTTTAATGACATTCGCTTGTGTAGTCAGGTAGTTGGGACTCTATTCAGATCCATTCCCCATCTAACACAGAATCCTCTTTATCTAAGACTAGCGTCAGTTACCTAAACCCTGTTGACTTTAAGAGAAAAGATGCTCCATGATGGAAAAGTTCTAACTGTGAAATCATATTTTCTACTACTAACTTTAAATTTTCTTCATTTTATTTCTGATTAAGCATTCATTGTTATGGTTTGTGAACCCTTTAAAATCTGTCTTCTTATAATCTGTGTATCAAATATGTAGTACCTTGCAAAAGAATGTAAATGCTTCCCAAGAACTCAATTTACTTAATTATATAGGAAATTATATTTTGTAAGTAAAACTACACCATGTGGCTATTCATCCTTAATGTGTATATATTGTATGTTGAAATATATTAAAGTTGATGGCTGGTGCCACAGCTTACTAGGCTAATCTTCTGCCTGCAGCGCCGACACACCGGGTTCTAGTCCCAGTCAGGGCGCCGGATTCTGTCCCCGTTGCCCCTCTTCCAATCCAGCTCTCTGCTGTGGCCCGGGAGTGCAGTGGAGGATGGCCCAAGTGCTTGGGCCCTGCACCCCATGGGAGGCCAGGATAAGTACCTGGCTCCTGGCTTCAGATCAGCGCGGTGCCCTGGCCGCAGCGCGCCAGCCGCAGGGGCCACTGCGGGGTGAACCAATGGTAAAGGAAGACCTTTCTCTCTCTCTCTCTCTCTCTCTCTCTCTCTCACTCACTCTCTCACTCTCTCACTGTCCACTCTGCCTGTCAAAAAAAAATAAGAAATATATTAAAGTTGAAAATATTATTTGTTATAATGTTAAAAATTTTGAATGGCCTTATATTAATACTGTCAAATTGATATGTTTATGGAAGGTGAGTCTTAATTTTTGTTTTTAGCATAACTTGGAGTTATTTACTTTTAGTAATTATTACTGTTTTGACTGCCTCTCTGAGAAGTCTGCCTTTAGGAAAGGGTTTTCATATCGCAACTTAGAGCCTTGATGGTTAGAATGTAACCTGCATTGAAGATTCTGGGCTTTTTATCATGAATAATAAATGACTGGAATAATCCACAAGTTATGCATTTTCAATTAAGTAATAACAAATAAAATTTCACATTGTAATAGTGAGTATATCCTTCTAAAGAAGATTCAGTATGTGTGCATGAGTCCTGTGTGATAAGCAAGGCCATGTGGAATGGCACGAAAAGTAAACTTAAGGTAGAGGAAAGTAATTTCATGAGATCTGTCACACTTCTCAAGGGGAAAGAAATATACAGAGCAGCAATTATTTTGTAACTGCATATTAAGAAGACCAGTTGACTGTGTAACTGCTTCTCTGATCTTCACATTTTTAAGTATACATTGGTTGGGTTTTTCATGCAAGTAGTCTTAGGGAGTATTAATACATGAGTAGACTAGGTGAGGTCTCTCACTCAGGATGTCACAGCACACGTTGCTGGAAACAGTGTACGTTCTGCATGCAGGCTGATGTTTGGAGGTGGGTTTATCGGTGCAGAGGACAGACGTTAACAAGCTGCCTCATTCCAGGGGACGCTGGAGGCAGGAAGCAGTCGAGGCATCGGGTCATCATCCAGCTGCCAGCCAACGGAGGCCGGGACTGCACGGATCCCCTCTATGAAGAGAAAGTGTGCGAGGCCCCTCCAGTGTGTCAGAGCTACAGGTAATAGAATCACAGAAAAACCTGGAGAGCAGTGTCCTGAAAAAGTGGTTGACATCCGAGAAGTTGGAGATGTTTGTGCCTGTAGCTGCCATTCCTTGCCTCTTCCGGAGCGCTAATCTGATACTACAGTTGTCTCCAAAAAGGCAAACACTTGTAAAATCTCTGAGCTGTCATTAGCTCCAGCAGTTTGGGGAGAGTCTTATGTTGATAGAAACCATCAGAAATGCAGAAAACCGCTTGATAATTATGAAGCACGTGTTTTTGGACGCGTTTCTTTTCCACTTAGGAGAATTAGCCTAACCACTTCTTCCCTGGCTCCAAAGAGCGCCAGTTTCTCATGAATGCTGGCTTTCTGGTTCAAGAAATGACATCCTTTATCCCCATGATGCAAACAAGATTTCTGTTCTATTCCTTTATGATCACCACAAAGAAAATTATAATTATTGAAGCTTGATAATTTATTGATAATTTATCAGAAAAATCTGGACCCTTTTCCATTAGGGCAGAAAATATCTCATTCAGATTTGATGTATATAATTGGAACCCTGACCACAAATGAAATATTATAGCATCAATTAGTGCAATATATAATCACAAAATAATAATTTAAGATGAAATTGATGACAGGTTTACCATTTTAATACATATATCTTTAATTCCAAGATGGTAAGTAGTATAATTGTATGTTTGCTTTATCAATATTGACAAGTTTGACCAAATGTGTTTATTTTTTAAATTTGTTTTTGTGAAGTGTATAATAATTACAGCTGCTGAGTTACTCCTACGATGGCAACCAAAAGAACACTGTACAAAAGACTCATGAATTAATGCAGTTTTGTAACTTGAATAAGGATAAATAGGCCTTATGTAAATGGTCTGCACCACATCAGGCAGCTCTTGATAGTCCTGGTCATTAAAGAAGCTCAGTGGTATCTTCCACTCCGGTAGAATCTGACAGTGCTGTACTCCTCTCTCCACTGCCATGCAAAGTACTGTTATAGTCAATGTTTCTCATAATGTCTTGATGAAGAGCTAAGTTAATCTAGATAGGACTGAGCATTGTGAAATAACTTCCTGTTTGCAGTGACCACAGTCACATTGCTGTGCTGCTCCATCTCTGATTTATGCAGCCCTTTTGCTTTCTCTCTATTGGACTTCTTTTCTTATAGGTGGAAGACGCACAAATGGCGCAGGTGCCAATTAGTCCCTTGGAGCGTGCAGCAGGACAGCCCTGGAGCACAAGAAGGCTGTGGGCCTGGACGGCAGGCGAGAGGTAAAGGCCCCATTGCGTGGTATCCTTGCTTTTCATTTCTCCACCATCAACAACTTGACCACTGTCCTTTGCTTTGCATGTTGACACTGTGCTTAGCAAACAGAGTGAAGCAGACATGAATCTTCCCTGACCCATTCACAAAACACTAGAACATGGAATCTTATTTTTGTAAATCATATCCTTTGTTCTTTAACAATAGCCCATAGCTCCTGTATTTCTTCCTCATTGATAACTGGAAGAAATTCAGGCCCAAGCTTTGGTTATGACATAGATGGTATATCAAAGCTTATTTAAAAAAAAAAAAAACTTATTTATTTGAAAGAGAGAGTGGTTCCATCCAGTGGTTCACTTTCTAACCAGGTGTAATAGCGAAGGCTGGACCAGGCCAAAGCAAAGAGCCAGGAACTATATCTGGTCTTTCATACAGGTACAGGGTCCCAAGGACTTGAGCCATCTGCCTCTGTTTTCCCAGGCATAAATAGCAGGGAGCCAGATCAGAAGTGGAGCAGCCAGAACTTGAACTGTCACTCCAATGTGGGATTTTGTGGGATTCTGACATCGCAGTTGGCAGCTTAACCCACTGTGCCACAGCACTAGCCACTTGGTTGGTTTTTAAATCAAGGTTTCCTTTTGACACAGTCACCTATATGCATTATACGTGTGCATACATACAACATAATATAATTGGTCAGCTTTCCCAGAAGTTCTGGGCAATAGCATTCCTAACACTGTCATGGTTACACACGATTCTGTTCATATTCAGGAGTGGGTTTTTTTTTTAATGGCAGATTTATTTACTCAAAATTTGCCATATGCGAACTGCAATCTGTCTGCACTACCAGATAACATGAAATCTTACAGAAAAGGGTGATGGAAATATTTCAAGCTTGCAAAAAATAGATATTATAGGGCATAACTAAGTCCCAACCTTTGCAACATGTTGTTTGTACATGTAGCAAATTCAGTCTTTAGAGAGCACATGATGGTTTTTACCTATATTGACTTTTAGCATGTATTTCCTGCTATATGCTTAAAAATATACTTTTGGGCCAGCACTGTGGCATAGGGAAAAAAGTCATCACCTACAGTTCTGGCTCCTATATGGGTGCCGGTTCCAGTCCCGGCTGCTCCTCTTCTGATCCAGCTCTCTGCTATGGCCTGTGATAGCAGTAGAAGATGGCGCAAGTTCTTGAACCCTAAACCCACAGGATTTTTCTCAAAATTAAAAAAAATTGTCATTTTCCATAGCAAAAAAAAATGAGCTCTCAAATCATATAAACAAAAACTAGAATTTTTCTACACATTAAGGCTTCAATCATTATAAAATGTGTAACTACAATTGAGGTAGTAAAATGTTATAATAATAATAATAATAATAATAAAAAAAAGAAATGTGGTTGTATATTCAATTACATATTAAGGTACATGATGTATTTGAAAGGCAGAGTTACAGAGAGGCAGAGGCAGAGAGAGAGAGAGAGGTCTTCCATCTGCTGGTTCACTCCCCAGATGGCCTCAATGGCCAGAGCTGGGCTGATTCGGAGCCAGGAGCTACTTCTGGGTCTCTCACGTGGGTGGAGGGGTCCAAAGACTTGGGTCATCTTCCGCTACTTTCCCAGGCACAGTAGCAGAGAGCTGGATCAGAAGTGGAGCAGCTAAGACTCAAGACTCAAGCCAGTGCCCATATGAGATGTTGGCGCTGCAGGTAGCAGCTTAACCCACTACACCACAACGCCAGCCTCGGGACACCAGTGTCACCAAGCAGACCAAATGCCCACCCTTAGGATTTTACTGTATATGAGCTTCAGGTGAAAATAATTCTGGTTCCCCTTTGCAGTTGTGGAGATTTGGGCATTATAGATTTGAAAGTCTTTCTCCCCACTATAAATTAGTCTTTTAAAAATTGAATGAAGGGGCCACTTTTTGTATATCAAAGGGCCTTTGGCTTCCTCAGGGCTATTTTAGTACTTTTTCCTGCCTTTCTGATGATTCCATTCTTGGTTTTCTATTACTGGTCCCTCTTCCTCTGCCTGTACTTATGTAATGCTTTCTAATCTTGGCATACTTGTCAGACTGCTTATGTTATCTTGGCAATTTTATCCATTTTCAGGAAATCTGCAAAGAGAAAGTTGCACTATAACAAGTGCTTTCTGCATAAATATACTCAGAAGAACCCCTTACCTTCCTTCCATAGGAAGACGATCTTTTCTTTGTTTTCTTACTAGATGAAGATTGCTTTTTCTCAGTGCCTATATTTCTGCAGAAACATGAAATGGGAACATTAAGAGTAAAATGTCTTTTTGCTAATGGCAGGAAAGCAAAATTTTCTTCCTTTAATGTTCATGGTTGTTTTCAGAACTCTGCAGGATTGACAGGCCAAAAGCTTGCTATTTTCATCTTTGTCTTTAAATCATCAGGGACTTTAAAAAATAGAGTGTGCTGTTTTTTGATGATTAAAATAATTATGTAGTAAGCATTAAATCAATTGGCAAAGATTATAGAGAAGCTACTTCCCATCCTCTCTAGTACATCAGACTTTCTAATTCCAATTACTCATGTAACTGAGGTTGCATTCAGAAGACCAAGTACAAAAGCCCCTGTGTTAGGAAAGCATGGAGATATTTAAACCAGGGAACTCATGTTTGTTAGGGAAATGAGATTGTCTTTGTTAACATCACTCTCAAGTAGGAGTTTAAAACTAAAGCTAATCAATTACAAAAAAAGGAAAGACTCAAAGAGCGAACTTAGACTTGACTTGTGCCCTATTAGAATAAGCAGAAGAGGGGAAAGAATACAAAATAAGATCAATTTCATGAGATAAGCATTTGAGGTAAAAGAAATAGTAAATGTGTTTATAGAAAGTGGGTATATTGAAGCCTTGAAGATTTGTGTTGGAGCCTGGGAGGATTTTGTGGAGGGCTATCAATGTCAGGATCAGTATTTTAGACCTTGTTCAGTAAGTGGAAGGAGCAAGGGCCTGATGAAAACAGTGTTTTATCTGTCAGCATGACAGGATAAATTAGAAAGATAAGTGGTCATGGGCCTAATGCCAGCCAGGACACTGTAGCAGTGCAAGGCTGGAGGAATAGGAACTCAGACTGGAGCCACAGTAGTGGAAATGAGCAGAAATAAATGGACTTTGAACTTGGGATAGTAGAAAATATCTTTAGAGTTTAGTGGCAGACAATAAAAGGAGTGGTAGAAGTAAGAAGTCAATGATGAACATGTGACTCTTTAACTCCAACATGTTCTGCTTAAGAACGGTTACATGGCTGAAAATTCTCAGGTCTGAAAATAGAGCTAATTTTAGAAAGTATATACTGTATATTTTCCGTCTAAGAGCACAGGAGGATAACCAAGTGGAATTAGCTAAGTATGCATTTGAAATGTAGAAATGTAGCTGCAAAAGATAGCTTAGGATGGCAAATTGAAATGTTACCAAGCTATAAAATTAGTCTTTCTCTTTTAGCACATATCAGAAAGCCAATCACTGAAGCTACAGTGTTTTGTTTTGTTGTTTGTTTGTTTGTTTGTTTTGTAGAAACTTGTATTACAAGGCAGCCAAGCTAGGATTCAGGAATAATGCTCAAATCAGTCTCCTCAATTAGGGATGTGGGTTAAGTTTTTATATATTAGGTAGGAGAGAGCAGGTATACAGAAAAATTGGTAAGGAAAGTTCTGATTGGAAGCCTTAGAATCAATCAGGCCAGCATAGGGCTATCATGTTTTAAGGAGGTTACCTAAGAAAGCAGGAACTAAAAGGGGCAGCCCAGTATTACAAATTTGGGTAACATTTCTATAAAGTGATTTGTTGAAGCCATAGAAAGAGCCAAGATCTCCAAGATATATGCATTTAAGTAAAAGTAGCTATTATATTTTGCCATTAGATTTCTTTATCTATGAACTGTATTTGTTGGCTCTTTGCTATTTCTTTTCATCTGAAGAATTTATTTTATAGCCCATTACCTTGAAATTACCATTTTCTTACTGGAATTGGAAATGATGTCATGTGAAGTAAAATGTGAGGTAGTCACTTTACCATTCTATAATTAGAAAGACAGAAGCATTTGCCACTGACTTTATCTGTACCTATAGATATACTACTAGTCGTTTACACCAGAGGTCAGTAAACTGTGCCCTGTGAATCAAATCCAGCCCACAGCTTGTTTTCTTTAATACAAGTTTCATTGGAACACAGCCACTCCCATTTATTTATGCATTGCCTGTAGCTGCTTTCAGAAGACCAGGGAAAGTGGAGCGGCTACAGCTGAGACAGTGTAGCCCAGAAAGGGGACAGATGTTTGCTATCTAACCCTTTACAGAAAAAGCTCACTGACTGGCATCTAAATGCAAGCATGTAAACAGTGATGTAGTCACAACTTCTAATAGTCTTGAAAAGTCATTGCCCAAGGGGACCAGAAAGTCTCTAGAGTTTATCTCCTCATTTGGGAAGATGTTTCTAAATTCAGTTCAAGAAGAAAGGAACCATTTAATTATGACGTTAGTATGTTGTAAGACCATGTTGATAGTAAAATATCTGAATTTAGGGTGAACTTGCAGCATTCTTTAGGGGACATAGGAATAAAATGCTGACTGTAAAAACTTCAATAGTAAAATTCAAAATAAAAAAAGCTACAGGTGAAATTTGAAAATGCATGAGATATGGAAGACAAGGAGAGAAAAGTCTTCCAGAGTCTCATAGTTGCCCTGTCTAGATGATGACAAATCATATCCAACACTGGTTGGTAAACATTCACTTACTAAGTATACATAGAAAGGAAAGGTGTGTGCGCCGCTCAGCATTTTACTTACAAAGTCACCTGTTATAATTCAGATTTCCTTTTCAAATGACTTGAATCTTATATATTAGTAGAAAAATATAACATTAAATTCTCTTTTTAGGAGATTTATTTTTTTTATTTATTTAACAGGCAGAGTGACACAGGAAGAGGGAGGAAAAGTTCTTCCTTCCACTGGTTTATTTCCCAAATGGCTGCAGC